CATCAATTTTTTTTATAATTTATTTTCATCATTTTAAAATATCGAATTATTCAAGCATAAATAATTTAAAGTTAACAAATGTGTGTATTTTTGGTTAACTTTAACTAATTCGATTTTAAATAAAACTTTTAGTTTCCGTGTCTATCAGGCATTTTAACTTTAGAAAATTCCAATTGAAAATAAATTTTGCTTGCTGTATTGAAATTGGTGATTTTGCTGTATTGAAATTGATGGTTTTCTGCTAAGTTATTTTATAAGGATGTGTAATTAGAGTTTCAAATTTTCAAAAAAGATGTCTTGATTTCAATGTTGATATATCCGTGATTTTTATTTCTGTCTTGCTTTGTGTTAGTTATGAATTGCTATGTTTTTACATTTGAAATATTCAATAATTTTTTAGCGATATTACTTTTGGCTGCTGTGTTGAAATTGACGGCCTTTTGCGGAAAAGTTTATATCCAAATCAAGTATTGGAACTTGAAGCTTCAAAAATTACAGTTCTAGGTACATGTGATAATAAGGTTGGTTTGATTTGAAACTGTTAGAAGTTTGAGTTTTTCACTGTTTGCTTTAGAGCCCGTTACTTTATACATGAAATTATATGAAATTTACCGGTTGAGTGAAACAATTAAGAAATACACATGTAATGTTAATTAAAAAATTTTAACTATGTTTTTGGTTAAGGTTATGGCACACCTAACACTCAGCCAACGTTTTGTATTTTAGACCAATATGTCACTTCTTCTCGAAATTGTTTGTACTGCATTGTAGCAAAATACAACAACAACACACGTTTAGACGGCATTTTCCCCGAGATCGGGGGTTGCCGTTTGGCTACCTATGATGAAACCGAAATACCCCTCGACGCCATCCACATCTGTCACTCGCCTCAGTATCACGCAACCCCGCTTTCACCCTGTCCTTCTCCACCTGCTCTCTCCACCTGCATTGTAGCAAAATAGCTTTGTAAAAAGTTGTTTGGGGTTTTAGAGTACAGTCCTACCTCAGTTTTTATTCCTGACATGAGTACATTGATTGAGTTAATTAAGTTGCATTAAATTCCATAAAACTTGTCTAACGAATTACGAGTTACTGTCAAATGTTTCAAAGAGTTTGGTAGTTCCACTCAGGATACTCAGAATTGAACTGCAAGATTTTTCTGGCATTATTTTCTGACACGCCTACTTTGTTATGTCATCCTTTGGTACTTATTCTTTGTTATTCAGATGTTTTTTGTTATTGCTTCTGTCCATCTTTGACAAACCCTAATTGATTGTTAAGTTTATTGAAATTTGCGGGTTTTTTAATTTATGACGATTTGCACACAGCATATCTTTGGTATTTTGATTTAAGTTTTTGCTGGTCTAGGTTTTTGCTTACCATTCAATCTCTTGCCACTATAAACATTTCAATATTTTCTTCATCTAACTAAGTCTTTGTCGAATATTCTTTTCAACAGCTTTGTAATAGCATCTTTAGTATTTTTTTTTACTTAAATTTTATAAAGTCAATTCCAATGAAAACTTTTGAGTAGAACAAATCTTTTGTACATGCGCCATTATTCAGCAAACAATCTTTATTTTGTGTCATTAAATGATATTTCGTTTCTGTTGAAGTATCGACTGCTGATTTTTGAACCTGTTTTGAACTTGTTTAATGTCTTTTATTTTACCTTTCCTAACCTCTGAAAAATTTTTATTGCCTCATCACTCTGTCCAACTTTTGTTTTTGAATTTTAGTTCAGTTCTTAATGATTTTATGTGGGAAATTATTCATCAAAGCTTTCAAGTTTGAAAAAATTAATTGTGTTTGGGTAAAATCCGTGCTTTCTGTCTTCTCTTTGCTCATGAACAGGTGACATTTTTCATTGTTCTACTGAAGGCAATCTTCACATTACTAAGGCTGAGCTCAAAATTGGTCATGGCTTTTTGTATTTTTTTCATTGTTTTTAAGACATTTACGAAACAGAATAAAAATGATTTAATTTTATATAAAACTATTCCTTTATAACTTGCTAATGAAATATTTTGAAATCATTCTTCAAACTGTATTTATTGGTTAGGGTTAGGGTTATGTGGGAATGTTTTGGTGAAAATTATCAACGGCAAATACAATTCTAGATATTTTTTTCAAATTTATTTAATTGTTCGAAATTTTATGAGCCATTTTGTTGCATTACAGTTTTGACGTTTATATATGTCTACATAATATTTCGCCCCTTAGGACTATCCTATTAAAATGGGGCAGAAACATTCGATGGATTATTTGAGGAACTTTCCGCACTTGAAATTCAACACGAAAACCTTTTCGTCTTTACTTCGTGTCAGAAATGCAGCTTCCATGGCGGCACACAGCTTTTTTCAGGTTTTTTAAGAAATATTTTAATGGTAAATTTATCTATTAAAAATTCATTTACAAATTAAATATTAGACAGGCTTTGTCGGGATTTTCCCTGTCGGTGGTGATGGCTTTTGACATTCTTAAGGATAATCAGATCTAAATTTAAATAAATAGACTAACAAATTGATAAATGATTGGAAATGATAACGAGCATTGACTAACTGAAAATATTTTTAAAATATACAGAATATGCTAATCTCGATAAGGCACACCACAGCACCGTTATGGGAGCTTCAATGCCTTTAAATGAGGACATACAAACAAACAAACAAAATAATATTATGTTTTGTTTGTTAGGTCAGTGAAAACTGGCCTAGGAAAAATTTGATCCATACATAATTTTTTCATTTTTATTACAATTGTCAAAAAATGCTGTAAATGGCAGCAAGTTAATACGGAAATTTGACAAGGCCTATGTGTAATATAAGATCATGCTATTTTATTTTTTTAAAACTTAACATTAAAAGGTCAATAATGTAAAAATGTCTTTTATCTCAAATCAGTTAAGGATAAGTTATTGAAATTTTTATTAACAAACCTACCACCATCACGCCCATTTATTTTTATCTTCCTCGCTCACAATCTCAACCGCTGAATCTACTGTAGGAGCTTGCTGCAAACAAAAACCAGTGAAAGTATCATAAACATTGGTTGGCTTTGTGAGAAGAAGCAGATTTGCAGATGTATATATTCTTTAAACTTCTGAACGAAACTACTGTTTGAAATTTATCTATCTAATAAATAAAAAATGACCGTTATATTGTAATATGAAAAGTTATTTTTAATAGGAAGAAGACTTCTGTTTTATCAATACACCCATTTTAACGACGAACGATTGTGAAGGAGCCGGCGAAGTTTTTCGTGCGGAGGTTCGTCTTCATTGTTTTTATTTAATATTTTTTCACATCGCATTTTAACTCAACCTACAAACATTTTAGAATTTTTTGCTTAGAGTTGTCATGGCTTATATTAGGGTTTGGTCAAACATCTAGCTTGTCTTTTGACTTTTGTAATGTAGGTTCATCTGGTTTCTGGGTTTCTGAATACATTCTTTACAAAGATTTTGAGCAAATTGTCTTCACGTTAAATTTTTTAAATATTGAAATTTTAATTAAGATGTGGATTGAAATACAAAATACTAGCTTTGGTTGAATAAATAAGCAAAACAAAACATGTCATTTCTTCAATGCCGTATTTCACCCATATTTGACGTGTATTAGAACGTAATGCTGTATAAAATATGGTCTCGTTCCAACAATAAAACGTAATAATATATATGACATTTTATTTCATAAACAGTTTACATAACAGCTTCCCAGTGTTTCACGATGATCAGATAATACAAATATAATTTATCCAGGTTGATCATTTGTAAATTGACTGGTCGTATCCCAGTTTTTGGGTCTTCTTATCTTTTGATTTCCCATAACGTTAACATATTCATCTTTAAGAATTTACACAAAATAGCTTTTAGTTATTTTCAAAAACCACATAATTTTTTGTAAACATTAACCGTTGGCAACTGAGCATCGGGTTCTTCTGGTTGTCAACTTTCGCGCCGTACAATCGGCATTATATGTTGAAATTGGCGACACTTTTTATACTTCTTTTCATATGTTCAAGATCGTATTTAAAAGATCCACCCTCTTGGTACGTTCTTCCACTCGGTAACAACATTACATCCCGGGCTAGGCCTACATTGAATATTCTGGTTTTACTGACTGCGTTTCTGAATTTAACCTTTTCTTGACGTTGCTACAGTCTTGTCCTAATGTATAGATCGTTGCAGTGATCCAATATTTTGCGTAATAATTCAGTTAACCCACCAAACATTGTCAGGCCCAAAAATGTTATTTCTTTCATTTTTTTTTTTCATGTTTGCTATTATAATGTTTGTATCAGAACAGGCTTGTAAGGTTTTATTAATTGGATTTTTTTTGTTTTGTGTCATAGTCGTTGAAAAATGCTGGCAATATCGAGACGATTAAAAATCAAACTTCTGGTCATTTTTTTGCCACTCCAACTTATCTTACAGTGTCAGGACAGTTACACCTTGAAGCGTTAACTGGGTTAATATATTTCTTACATTCTTTTCTTATAATGTATTTTTTGCAGTTTTTTTTATTTTCGAGTGCATTTTATTTTGTAGGTCCAATATGAAGTTTGGAGGTTGAATTGATGAATTAATAAAAATAAAAATTAGTACGGAAAATCCGTGGACTAGGATAAGATGTTAAATTAATTTGATGAAACACATTTGATGAAACACATTGTTAGACCAGTTTTTTAGTAAACCAAATGTAGATATAGATTAACAATGCAACATTTGTAGAAAACTTGAAATGTCATATTTGTCCAGGCAGAAATAGCTTTCTAATTGAATAAATTTAATAAAATACTTTTAAATGTTTTATTTATGAAAGATAATTTTAATTTATTTGTTGTTACATAAAAATAGAAATTTATATTTATTTGTTGTTCTATAAAAATAGAAAAAATTATTAACACAAGTTGTCAAATTGCCATTAAATTTTCTATGATTTCAAAATTTGGTTGGCTCGCTTTTTTTATTCTCACTGTAAAATTGAAGAGTAATTATAATGTTAAAGAAGTTATTTACAAAGACTGGGCATTTTGAATTGTCTTTAAACGTTTACACGTCACACTTCCATCAGGCCCTTCAGCAGAGTATATTCATTCGGACCGACGTTCCGAGCAGAAGATTCACACACCAGACATCATCTGTCGGAATTCTACATGCTCGAGGCTGAAGTCGCATTCACGAGATCATTATGCGATGTCATCAAAGTATTTACCAAGCTCTTTTTTAAATATTATTTCAATTTAAATTTTTCTAATTCTTAATTTTTTCTATTCCTTCGGCATGACTGAAAGTAATTAATTTCCAAAATGTCAAAGTTTCCGTCCGAATTTATTCGAAGATTAATATTTGAGAATTTCAATGTGTCGAACTTCACCAGAAATAATTTGGAGGGTTATTCATTTATCAATAGATCACCAATTAATTGCTAACAAGTTGTCGGAATTGGATTTCTTGACTGAACAATGAACATTCTTAATTCTCACTTACCATCTTGTAAAAGATGTTCTTAACATTTGCATTAGCTTTAAAATTTTTGTGGTAATTTACGCTTTTGTTGTCTGAAACAAGAGATGAGATTTTTAAAAACATAGATATCAAATAAATTATTTTAACAAAATCTATATTGGGAAAACGAGCTGATACGAAACATCAATAAAATTTCTTCAAGTTTTCAGACGTAAACTACACATAGAGAGAAAGAAAACAATATAATATGGAATATGTAAACAATTTGGTATACAGAGCTTTCTCTTAAGTCTCTGTATACCAAATTGTTTACATAATTTTGGTTTATTTTTCATTCTCTGTATACAATAATCAGACTGTGACAGGTTAAGAAAAATGTGATAATCGAACATTTTGTGATCAAAACTAGGAGAGGCATAATTGGACTTATTTTTGAAAAATGGCGACAAAAATTCGTGTTTATGGTCATGGTAGTGGCGAAGTGCTGGAACTCCTAAAGATTTTATTTTTTAGTTTATACTTATTTTTTTTTATAATTTTGTTTATATTTTATATATGCCTTACTAATAGCAGTTTATTATGTTTAATTCGCTCTATTCAAATTCATTTTATTTCATACTTTATTTGTACACTTGGTTTTTCATCATTTATCATATTGTTACAACTTCAACAGTGGATTGAAGGTCTCATCAAATGTATGACGTTCGCTGTTTTAGAAAGATGTTCGTCAGACGTTCAATTCTTTTTTAAAAATTCCAAGTCCGCTAAACTCGAGGTAGATGTGTTTTTATCACTTTCATTTTGCTTGTGTGTTTTTTTAAATAATATCACATATAACGCTGTGTGTGATGTTAATTGGGATGTGATGTTAGATGTGATAGTTAGATGGGATGATGTGCTCGTTGCCGCTCCTTTCTGAGTTTTTTTATTATTTTTTTATGATGAAATGATAAACTTCGCATTCAAGTTTATTGTTTTGTGTTGAATGAATGTAAAACTTTGAAGAAAAATAATTTAGAAAATATAATCGTTTGCTCTTTCACATCAGTTAATTATTCTTAAAATTGGAAAGGTATTGAAAATGTAAGTATTGTGGTTTTTACGATTTTACGACACAAAAATTTGGTTTGGATTCAAAAATAAATGATTGAAAAATTAAACAAGCAGGCTAGTAAGAATGGAGATTTTTCAAAATTTTCCTATAATTTCAGAATTTACTAAATTCTATAAATTATGCTTCTTGACCAGGAACGTGTTGACAAAGTACTCCGTAGCAGTTACAGCCGGTTGAACTTTTGAATATTATTTATTAGCCAGCATTGCTAATTTCAAATTTTTAATGAAAATTTTCAGAATAACCTATACAGAAGCTATCAATCTTTTGTCGGCCTCTTCAAAAGAATTTTCAAACAAAATTTTTGTATGTGAGTTCAAAATATTATACTTTGTTTTTCTTAGTTTTCAATTATTTAGTATTTATTTTTAAAAAGAATTTCAATGTGGCATAAAAATTCAATCGTGAAATCATGGTTTATTGATACAAGGAAGTTCGCAATCGTGCATGTCAGAAAAAATATCACGCTTCATTTAACATTTTAGTGTGTTTTAGCATCGTTTTTTGTTTTGAATTAAGAAATTTTAAATATTAAAATCACAGCGAATGCTTGATTACTAAAGCGAAATTGAAACCTTATTAAAACCAACGACTAAATTTTATCAACATCATAACCTTCTCTTATTTATTTTGATTTTTCTGTCTTCTAATATTTTCTTGAAAATTGCATCACGCTTTGGGGGCTGTGCATGCACCTAGCTAAGGGCCCTATATAAATATGAATGCATACCGAATACGATAATGCTGGCTAAAAGCTGAGACGGTAGTGAACTAATCTTTATCGATTCAAAATATGCTATGCAGATAACAAGATGAATAAGTAACTCGCGTTGTAAACAGTTGAAACATTACATTTTTCAGCTGAAACTTGAAACTGGTCTGCTCAAACAATTTATTATTTAAATTAATAAAAGTACAAACTTCGAGAAATATTTTTCTAATATTTATTATTATCTTTTGTTGCAGTGGGGGGCGGATTTGCACAAAGAACATGAACGCTTCCTCACTGAATACTTCAATGACGTTCCTGTTTTTGTAACGGACTATCCAGCTGCTATTAAACCATTTTATGCAAGAGACAACGGGGACAGAGCAACTGTAATTTTATTCTGTTTTTTTTATACTTGAATGAATGAATGAATGAATGAATGAATGAATGAATAATATGTCGTTGCTAGTGTTGTCATTGTTTTATTTTTTGTGTTTATTGATAATACTTGTACTTATGCGTTGTCAGTGTTTTTAAGAATATCTTTATCACGATTGGTTTTTAGTTATTGCCAGTCTACTCTGCGTTATTTAATTAGCTCGTGTGGATAGGCGCGCTTAAATGACTGAAAATTTAATTTGCAATGATTCCCATTATGGTTGCTGCTGCTGCTGCTTATGGTGTTGTCGTTGTTGCTGTTGTTGATACAGGTTTGACGAGAAATAATACAACTTATCAAAGAAATTTTATTGCAAGGTTACTTGGTTTAGAGTATTCGAGAGTTAGGAAAAAATTGGCATCGGATGATGTAGAAATGCGGTGTTGATTATGTACAGTTCTTTTTGCAAAACAACTATATCGAAAGAAGCTGCCGGTTTAACCAGACTGTCAGAGTAAGAGATTTTTTCCCGAGTCAGAATTTTTTGAGGGGCTGTAGTAGAGTCGGAATTTCTTCATCCGACTCTGACATCATGGGTTTGATATTATCGTGGCTCAAGTTGAAACGCAAAGAAACTCCGGCTTATCATTAGCGTCGCATATTATGTAATGCATTCGTTTACAATTATACAGTTGACTGTTTTTTTAGCATCATGTTTTTCTTTGTTATATATGGAACCACAAATATTGTCATTATTTTAATAATAATAATAATCTTTTGTTTGCTAACTCAGGTTGCCTCACTTGATTTGCTCTTTTCTGACGTTGGCGAGGTATGTGGAGGCAGTTTGAGAGAAGAGAGGTATGACTTTTTAAAGTCAAAACTGGAGCAACTCAATCTTTGCAAATCACTCGAATGGTAGTGCTGTCATTTTTTGTTCATCAATATTTATTGTTAATTAATTTTATACGTTGAATTTAATATTTTAAAAAATGATTTTTTTTTTATTTTCGAAGGTATTTAGACTTACGAAAGTTTGGTTCCTGTCCTCATGGTGGGTTCGGATTAGGATTTGAAAGATACATCCAAATGCTGCTGGGACTGAACAACATCAAAGACGCCATCCCATTCCCGAGATACACCAGCAGTTGTAAACTTTGAAAATTCCTTACCTTATAAAAACTGAAATGCAATTTTTATATTAATTGAAATAAAAACAAATTATTATTATGGTGAAGATAAAATGTCCATATGTCCGCAACACAAAATTAACTATAAAATTTTAACACAAACAATGTACATGAATATATGTTAATATGTTCTGTTCAAACATAAAGTTCAAACAAGAATAAAAAAATTAAACAAAAATTTAAGATAATAATTTCTATTATTAAGTCAACTACCTATATTTTATATATATGCATACAAACATTTCTTCATAAAAATTCAAAATTCGAATTTCAACCATTCATATATATCGTCCTCTCTTAAAGACAATCATGTCAAAACAAACGTTTAAACCATCATCCAAAATATATAAATGATTACATTTGTAATCATAAATAAATTAATTTAAATCAAAAATATAAATGATTACATTTCTTGAGTTGCGTGGTTTTATTGTAAATGTACAAAGTCAAAATTATACTCACGCATTCTTATTTTGTTTTTCGTTTTTTTTTCTATTGAAGTAACTTTAACATTTGAAAATTTACTTCAATGATGGCATTCTAGATGCCATATATGTCATATGCATGGATATATATATATATATCCGTGGTCATGACCAGAAATTGTATAACCGAGAAATTTTTATATTATACATTAACTATTTCTAGATAAGATTTGAAATTAATATGTCTAATAATCGCGACCACAAATTTTAATAAATGCTGAAATCATTAATGACAATCAAAATTACAAAATCAAATCACGACAGAAAAATTAATTATAAGAAACCGCACGTTTTTAAAATTTATAGCCGTTAAGTAAGATAATGACTAGCAAAACATTATCAATAAAACAAGTATTACGATTTGAACCGGTCTGTCGGAGTTGGATATTTTTACCAGAATAGGAATTGATTACGTAATAATAGCTTTATTTTATACATTAAAAATTTATTCTATTCATCGAAAAATCTGAATCTGACATACGCTGAATCTGTTACAACATGCAAGACAGTGGAAGAAATTAAGTAAAAACATACAGAGTAAAGAGGGTTACATATGAGAAATTAAAAATTATCCGCTATAATAATAACTAACTCTCTGTTGTCTTCAAAGCCCACAGCATCAACTCAACAACCTTATAAAATGAATGACAAACTCAGTTCAAATATTCTTATAAAGTATTATAGAGAGTTTCACCAGCCATCATTGATAAGATCATAACAATTTTTAAAACGTGGTGCACACAACTGCTGAGCTATAGTTCAATTTTTACAAGGTCTAAAGATGAACCCTCACCCAGTAATGTTATGTAGCAGCTAACTACAAAATATCACTCAACAAAATAACCGATAAAATATGATTTCATTTTGCATTTTTTCTTATGTAATGTCCCAATTCTGCTAACAACATAATTAAACTACATGTAAGAGACTTTCAACAAAATCTTACCTCAGTTAAATCAATGAACCAAAAAAACGAAAAATTTTAATTATTAACTAAGAATAAGTAAAATTCCAAAGAGACAATTTACAGTCTGTTTTTAATTGATAATGTACAAACAACAAAGGACAACAATTTATCCGAGCATCAAACATTAAAAACATCAAAAAAGAAATACTACTAAAGAAAATATTTGACAATTTTACAAATTTGTTAGATGTGCTAATTGTTTAATTGTTATAACATCACAAACAACTACCAACAAAACTTTCCCCTTCCATTTGTTGAACTCTTTATTAACAAACAGTTAACATGGCTCAGTCTTAATTGGTTATGAACAGACAATTAAGCTAGAGGTCAAATTTATTGGGTAATTGAGTTTAATTGTCCACGAGTAACGTTAAGTGGTCTGATCAAACCAACTTAACAGGATGCAAAACTCTTTGAAGTTGATAACTGTTACGAGCATGAATTCAAAGAAAAACATCAAACTGATTTTCCTTTCATTTAGTTAAATAAATTTAATTTCAATTAAGTTTTAACTGCATCAATTATAATTGGAACTTGAAGATGTATATAAGACTCCGTTCAGCTCAAATATATGAAACTAGTTGTTTTTTGTACGTCAGTTATAGCAAAAAATATCCTCAAGTCTTTTGGAAATATCTTAATTCTGTATATTGAAATTTATTGAGCATAAGCATGGATGATGAATACAATTATCTGTATTATAGCTTTAATAACGATGATGACCATAACCATATAATGATACAACAACCAGCACACCAACAACCACATCAACCAGCACACCAACACTCACCTCAACCAACACATCAAGATACATACCAACAAGGCCATCAACAACAACATCAACATGCAACAACGCACTCAAATTACAACATGCCAACGCGGTACACAAACATGCAGCTACAAAACTGCCCACGAGCTGCATGCAACGACCAACTGGCAATATGTAGACGAACTAACAGTTACAATTACGGCTATGATGACATTTGTCAAGGCAGTGTGGACAACGACGTATTCATTAGTTGCAGCATCGAGAATGATGTTCGAGCTTACAATGATTCAATCAAAAACACAACATCAATCAACTCAACCTATAGCAGTTACAACAACTCACGCAGCAACATCCATAACCTACAAAACAACAATTTTAACCCATCCAGCAACTTCAACACATTCAACACATACAACTCAAACCACACATTCAACCACTCAACTAATTTTTACAATCCAATCGGCATACAATCAACTGATTTAACAACTGCAATGAACAACAGACTTGTACCTAATATAGCAACATTTCAGCAACATGATCAGCAGCATTTTCTAAAAGGACATCAACAACAACATCATCCAATGTCCCAGGTTGTTGAACAATCAAACCTCCAACGAAACTTAACCTGTGACTGTCAATCATTCAATAGCAACATTGACAACATTCATATGGTTCCACCTTCTAACAAGTTGCATGACTATCCCTGTTTAACGTCCTCATACTTCTTTCATGTGCCTTCTCACATCAACTGCTCAGACACCAACTTAAGCGCAAACAAATCAACGATTTTAAGCGAACTAACGGCAACAGAAACTTCAACAGCACCACAACCATTATCTTCAGAAGAGGCATCATCTTCATCTTCAGAGGCATCAAAAAATGAAAGATCAGCAGCGTCAACAACCTCAACAAAACGTTTCTTTAAATGCTCCGACTGCAGTCGAGTCTTCCGCCACAGAGTTTCTTTTATAAGCCACATGAGGAAGCACAGCAACCAGCGACCATACGTTTGTGTCCAGTGCAACAATGCCTTCAAGGACTCTTCTGCTCTCACCAAACATCAGCGAGTTCACTCGGGTTTAAAACCTTATACCTGCCCGCTCTGTGCTCGTGCCTTCAGTCAGTCCACCAACGTCAACAGACATTTGAAAACTGTTCACAAGATAAAGAAGGCAGGCAAATGACGTGCCGGTGTTGTTGCTTGTCTGCTCTCTTCAATGTACATATGTAAATCTATTTCCCGCTTACGTTCGTACTTTTACTTTTTGTTTGGGCAGTGAATGTAAATATTTAAGTTTACCTAAAATAAAAAAAACATCTCAAAACAAATATGAACACAAAAAATGTAAATATTAATATTATGTATATTTTTGTTTTATATTTAGTTAACGTTGAAATTAGTTGTTTATTACTAAAAATAATAAACTTGTTTCATTTTTGTACTTTGTTAATTATAGCTGTTATACTGTAAACAGAACAAAACAAACTAAGCCAAATCGCCACTGCACTTTAGCAGTCGCACAAAGAGGATTTAATTATGATTAAATGCTTTGCTGAACCAATAACTTTTTAACTCTCGCCTGAATTTATTTAATGACCCAATCTGCTTCATTGTTGTTGGAAGATCGTTCTATATTTTTGGCAGAGCAACCTGCACACATCTGTCACCCAGTTTTGTTCGAGTTCTTGGAATTATCATCATTGCTGACGAAATTTAACACATCAACTTCAGTTCTCTTGCAAACACCTTCTTCAAACAATTTGGATCATCACCATGTACACAACAATGAGACAAAGTCGCCATCTTAAATCTTATTCGTTCCCTCATCGACAACACGTAGAGACTTTCCAAGACGATGCGATTACGTCATCTGAGACCAATGACCAATCCCGTGGCAACATCTTGGATTCGTTGAAATTTATTCACAACTCGTGCGCCAGCATCAAGCAAGAGCAAAATTGCATTAAACCTATCTAGACAGTACCAAAGTGAAAGACTAGTGACTAGAGAAAATATCCGCTGGAAGTCATTTCTTGACCAAAAGATATATTTTAACATCAGAAGTTATTACTCTCCGTCCATCTGCACAATTTTTCTATTTAAGTAAATAAACAAATGGTGCTCATTAAAGTTCTAATTGTTCATCCTTAAATTATTTGATGTGTTTTTTATCCGCTAGTTTGAAATCAAGTACTGAATTCGATTTTATAAACATTCTACAGTTGAGCAGAATGATGAGTGTGGGAGAAAACACGGAGGAAGTAATGGGAATAGAAGTTGCCTAAAAAGTAATTTTTTGTTTTCGACTAACTCTTGAAATTATTGTGTTACTCAGCAATTTCTTCAAATTAAAAGCTAGAAATCTTTTACATTTTGATAATATTTTTGACCCTCAAAACCCTTCATTAAGCAGTAAAAAATTTATTTAAACTTCAGGAAATTAAAAAACAAACAGATTGGGTTTGAAAAATAAAGAACGAGAATTTTAGTTAATGTTAAAAATGTTAATTTGTGAATAAGGAAAAATCGACCCAAAAACACATATACAACTATACCAAATTACTTTTTGTAGCGTGCTATCAAACGCCGAAACTTTTTCAATCAATCCACCAGCATAGTTGAAAACCAGCTGATTATGTGCTGGATGACTCAATTTTACACAATTAAGAATTGTTACAAAATTTTCGTTCGGCAAATTTCACTAGCGTTTGTCTTAGGTTCATAAACTGATTCCACCTCAGAAAAAGACATTGTATCCACACTGAAATACTTGGAAGTTTGCGATAAATAGAAATATTATCCAAATTCAAACGATGCATGGTTTGTTTATTCTGCTTAACATAATGATGCCAAAGGTTTTTGATCGAAACAAGTCCTCGGTTTACTTATATACCATGGGAAACAAACATGATAGGAAGAAAAACTTATATAAACCAAAGTGGGTTTTATTATCCTGCACCAACGGAAAAAATTAATAATCAAAACATTGGTTGAAAAAAATACGAACACTTTGCCCGATCAAGTACAATCGCTGGTTTTATTTTTTTTTATTAAAATTAAAAATTTTATTCAAAAAAATTAACTGTAACAATGATTGATATTCAATTTTTTGCAGAATATATCGCAATCTGTTGAAAAACTGGTCTCATTTAAAATAAAAATATAACAACAAAATCTTTTATATCATTCACGATTAGACTATATATATATAATCGATTCCATGATAACTCATTCTCTATTAATCTTTAATTGAGTTTACAAAAAATCTGAAGATGTTGTCCGTGTTAATCGAAGTTACACAACCTCCCAGAGCCAATCTTTCGCCGTTTTGTTGCCTGATTTGCCTGGGCTAAGGTTGATCTTCTTTTCTCTACTGCGGATATTTTATTAAGCATGTTCTGCAGCAAAACTTTCTCTCGTAAGAACTGGTCTTCTCCTTCTTCGTCATTTCTATATAATTTGAACATCTTTGCCGATGTTAATTTTATGATCTTGCCTATATCTTCATTCTCCATTGTAAAAATATAAGTTGGAACAGTTTTGAAAACCGAATGTACCTGCGATGTTATTCACGGAAAAGTTAACTCCTGATCTCTTATTAAATTGAAAAGACGATGCCAAATGAATTGCTCGAAACAATTCCCCGGCTTACTTATATACCATGAGAAACAAAGAAGAAATTTTACAAGGTAATATTAATTAATATTATCAAATAGAGTTTTATTATGTTGTAAAAAAATACTTTGCAAAGTAAATATTCAATACTTTGGTGAAATATTCTAAAATCTGAAATTTCGAACACTGCACGCTCTCTTTCCACTAACTGCCAAATAGCTATAGGTCTTGTGGAATAACCTGCCACTTGTTTGGCTTTCTATGGCTCCCACCATTGCACAAATTAACAAAATTAGCAGCATTTTGTCAATAATTTAATTAATGAATTAACATAATCTTGAATACATTTTTTTATTGAAAAATATTTCTAAAATTTTATAAATTGTATTTGTAGCTATCGTCTATCATTTGCAATATTCAATTTTGAAGCATCATTTTGTTAATTTACCTTATTATATTTCACGACGAGACAACAAATTTACAGACAAAAAGCAGCTTAATATGAAATAATATAAAGTATAATTAATCAGGGCATATTATACTTTGTATAATAAGAATGAGTTAAGACGTAGGAAGCTAGGAAGCAAGGTTTCCTGGTATATAATAGGCTAGCACACGAGTTAGGTTATCTCTTAAACACTTTTAAGACTCAACACACTTAAACACATTTAAACACCCTCTTCGATAATCTTTAGATTATTTATTATTAGCGTTATTCAATTTTACAACGAAAAGTTTGTTATAATTTTGAACAATAAAATAATATAAACAATAATGGGGAGTCGTTTCCTGTTCGATTTCGATTATTAAACTTGACAACATTTTTAAAACTAACTAATATTCAACACACGTAAGTTGTTAATTAAAGTAATTTCTCAATATTTTATGTCCACGAACAATATCAAATTATTTAACGTTGAGCGATCGAGTTTACAGAAAAAGAAAGAATTTCCCCGAGAATAAACTATGTTGTTCGTTCAGTAATCAACGTAGAACAGTGAAGAGCTAGCAATATAACAATATATCTTTTGTTTCAGCTGGTTCACTGTGTTGGAAGTAGAAATGGTTGTTAATAGATTCCACACTTATCATTTCCAAATTATTTACAAAAAAATTATTTTGATATTTTGAATGAAAATATCAGTTTAAACTGAATTTATTTTAAAACAATTTTTTTGGTGAGATGACCAAACAGATTATTTCAAACTTTGACAATTGACAACGGAGGAACTAAAGTCCCATTCAAAGTTCTTTTTTGAAATTTGAATTCAAACGTCTGTTTCTTAAATATCAAACACTAAAAAATAAAATTTTCAACTTTAAAAATAGTGTGTTTTTTTCAAACTGCCAATTAAACCAAAAAGTCAAATGTTGGGAGAATAACTCCAAAATATTTAACGGCTCTTAAAAGCACGTTTATTGAGTTGCATTGTTGCATTGGGAGAGGTGTCCGAGCTAGATTAGGTTTGCAAGTTTCCATTCGTTGTCAGGTGAGCTTCCTGAGCGTTCCACGAACCATTCTGGATCACATTGGACTCTGCGAAAAAATGAGACGAGTTGGTCAACTTTTAAAAGTTTCAATAAATATTTATTTTTAAATTATACAATTTTTTTAATACAATAAAATTATTTCTTCTTTATGTCATTCATTTTTCTTCAATTACTGTTTTTGCTACTATTACTTATACTATTACTATTACTACTACTACTATTGCTACTACCGCTACTACTGTTACTACTACTACTACTACAGCTACTATTCCTGCTAAACTACTGCTACTACAACTATTACTACTACTATTAATATTAAAACATTTACTAATACTATTATAATTAGAAACTTTATTAATTTCATTTTTAAAATCCAGTTTTACGAGCCGCACCAAACGAAAAACGAGAAAGTCGTTTTTATTACGATGATCGGATGAAGTTAATTTTAACAAACGGCAGTTAAATAACGAAACAATTTTTTTTCAAAGTTTCTTTTATTTCACGTTAAAATTATAGAAAGGATATGAAAATATTAATAATATATTCCATGATAAATCATTTCCTTGTTATAACTCATAGAAATTAATCTTTAATTGAGTTTTCAACAAATCTGAAGATGCTGTTCGTGTTAATCGAAGTTACACGACCTCCCAGAGCCAATCTTTCGCTGTTTTGTTGTATTATTTGTTGTATCAACTGGGCTATGGTTGATCTTTTCTCTCTACTGCGGATATTTTATTGAGCATGTTCAGCAGCAAAACTTTCTCTCGTAAGAACTGGTCTTCTCCTTCTTCATCGTTTCTATATAATTTGAACATCTTTGCCGATGTTAATTTTATGATCTTGCCTATATCCTCATTCTCCATTATAAAGGTATATGTTGGAACCGTTTTAAAAACCGAAGGTATCTGCGATGTTGTTCACGAAAAACTTAACTCCTGATCTCTTATTAAATTGAAAAGACAATGCCAAATGAAAACAATTCTTCGGCTCACTTACATACCATGAGAAACAAAGAAGAACTTTTACAAGGTAATATTAATTAATAATATCATGTAAGTTTTATTATGTTGTAAAAAATACTTCGCTGTACCAACGTGCAAAGTTAATGTTCAACACTTTGGTGAAATATTCTAAAAATCTGAAATTTCAAACAATTCGAACTATCAGGTACAATCGCTGTTTTTATTTTGTTATTAAAATTATTTCATTCAAAAAATAATTAAAATGTTAACAATAATTAAAATTTAATTTTTTACAGTTATCTGTTGGTGAACTGGGGTGAACTGGTCTAATAAAACAAATATAACAAAATCTTAATATATCAGTCCCCAGATGCCTAGTTTTTAAAATTCTCATATTCGCCTTGCAGAATTATAGAAAAATTGATTTCATACAATTTTGAAAACAAATTCAACAGTTTAAAATGACATACTGTTCATATGGTTACAATAGATCGCGTTTGCTTATTGTATCACACTTAATCAGAATGGTATCTTTGACTGTGGCGATGATACTGAACACATTTCGTGACGCACGACCACCAGGAAAATAAAAGCAAGATTACCTGTATGAAATCTGCAAGAAATTCGGTGAGATCTAACACATTGTAAAATTTCCTGCGCTAACATCCTGGTGCACTGAATCAGAAGTTGCTGCAGGCAACCATTGCAAAAGCGACAACCAATATACAAAAGATTGTTCGTTCATGGATGGGAAAATAAAATGTGTAGTCAAAGTGAAGGCGGACAAAGAAATATTAAGAGTGCGAGAGATAATAAGATGCATGTGAGAGAGAAGTACTTGATGTTCATTGAAAACAGAGACAACGTGTTCATGGGGGAAGAGATTAATAAATTTTCAAAAATATACAGAAATATACAAAAATATACAAAAAAGAAAAGAGCCGAATTTCGACCTACCAAACCTCCCCCCCTTTGTGGATTTAAATCTAATTTACAAACTTATCATTTTAATCTTGCTCTGAATTGACAATAGTTTTTATATGTTGCTTCTAATAAACCTTTTAATTAGAATATTTCTATTGAAATTTTTTAATGCTATGGAACTCATATTACCATTATTACCACGGTAAATTGTTATTATTATTAATTATTAATTTTATTATTGTCATTGCTACTGAACTTATACTCCCATGGTCAATTATTTATTTCTTAGTTCCGAGAGCGCATCAGTCATTTGCATTGGCGCTTTATAAATGATATTTATTTTTATTATTATTTTCATTTTTTCAGTTTCTAAAAAATTTCAAATTTCGATAGCTGAACGGCACCAAATGAAAAACGAGAAAGTCAATTTTACTATTATGTTCGGACGAAGTTAATTTTAACAAACGTTAGTTAAATAACAGAACAATTTTTTATTCAAAGTTTCTTCTATTTCACGTTAAAGTTATAAAGAGGAAATGAAAGTATTAATAATCGATTCCATTTTTCAACAAATCTAAAGATGCGGTTCGTGTTAATCAAAGTTACGGGGACAACAAAATATTAAGAGTGCTAGAGATAATCAGATGCATGTGCAAGACTGATAAATGATTCTTTGCGGGAGAGTATCCAACAAGCATGGATCAAAAGAACATAATCTTCCCTACTGGAAGGCCATATAAAGTCTCCTGGTTATCTAATGGTGTCAAGTACTTGATGATTTTTGCAAACAGAGACAACGTGTTCATAGTGGGAGAGAATAATAAATTTTCAAAAATGTACAGAAATTAACGTTTCAAAAAAAAAGATAAATGTCGATCTACCAAACATTTAATTGAACGGGAAAATGGTGCTTGACCGCGTGGGTGACTCGACGATGCCAAGGTACCTGGTTCACGACATCATCAAACTAGATGGGCCCGACGTAGGAAGTTGGAAGTTTGAAACCAGATTGATACGCATAGTGGAAGGCATCATTCAACCTCGTGATGAAAGCAAAATTGATAAATCATTAGAGACTTTTAGCTTCAAGGCAAAATCATTTTACGATATACTTAAATATTTTTAAAAACTTACTGGACGAAAACTTTGTAAAACAAGTGAACCACAATCTCCCAGAGCCAATCTTTCGCTGTTTTGTTGTCCAATTTGCCTGGGCTAAGGTTGATCTTTTTTTCTCTACTGCAGATATTTTATTGAGCATGTTCTGCAGCAAAACTTTCTCTCGTAAGAACTGGTCTTCTCCTTCTTCGTCATCTTGTCTCACTCAACAATATTCTTATTCACAAAATCACGCAAATGGCATAATTAATAAATTGCTTATTATATGTTTTACGAGATTATCAACAGATTCAACGTATCCTACCATCAATATACTGATGATACACAACTTTTCATCTAATTGAATAACGATAATTCATCAAACGTGAATGCCATCTCTACGTGCATTGCTGCCATGGAGAGGTGGTTTCTTCTCAATAATTTTCAATTCAACTCAAATAAAACAGAGGTCATCACATTAGACTTATTCCACACAACCAACCAGTTACTAGATCTGACATCAATCAGGATTGGTAATAGTGATATCCCTGTATGTGACACTTTAAAGACAATCGGTGTTGTTCTTGACAAGAAACTAACTTTTTCAAATTATACTACATCTATTATTGAAGCGTGCAATTATTATATCAAGCAAATACACCATATCAGACAGTTTTTATCAGTCGATCTGGCTGGGAATCTGGCGCGTTGTTTGATATTGTCCAAACTTTATTATTTCAATTCATTGATGTTTGGCATATCTCAGAAGCAGAAAACACGTCTCCAAAGGCTGATGAATTGGGCTGCCAGAGTTGTACAAAGTATTGATACACCACCAAATCGACTAATATCTGCAACAATGAATTATTTCGAAAATGTACAATAACTAACAGAACATATCAATCAATCAATAAATCAATCAACCAACCAATTAAACAACTAACCACACAAGCGACCAACCAAATCACTAACTTATAGTTTGAATTTTGTCAATCTGAGATTAGGAAGAATATCAACTATATGAATTACTAGTCAATCAGACAAACAACCAACCAGCTAACTAACTTATCGTGTGGATTTTCTCAATGTACACATCAACCCAGGGTACGAAAATCAGTAGAGGTATCAGCCAGATGAAGCAGACGCAAACCAACGCCGACCTAGGCTTCATTTTTGAAGTTTGCGGTGAGAAAATCATCGCGTACCTGTGTGTATGGGGTGTGTGCATGCGTGTGTGTATGTACGTGTGAGGGTATTTAAATGATGTTATGTTTTTTATTCATTCGACGACGATTTTAAGACATGGTTTTTCAACATTAATCTCGACTTTATTTTTTTATTCTGGTCTAGAAAACAAAATTACAATTCAATATTTCACCATTTCAAAAAAGAGAAAAAGGATGAATTAGAAATATTAACGAGTAAACAAAATGTGACTTTCTCACTAAAATATAGTCATCGGAGTGATAATGAAAAACTAAAAATCATTAAATATAACAGATAAAAACAATTATATCATAGAAATATGTAAATTAAATCATAACGTGAATTATTTTAAAAAATAATAAAACCATAAAAAATTATGCATGTAAAATATGAACGAAAAAAGATTAATTATTATTCATCCATAAAAAATGCTTCAGTGAAACAGTGCCTCTTCAGTATCTGTTTGACTTTTTTCACTGATCAGTTCTACCAAGCCCAACATCCAGTTTTGCAGCGCCGTTTTGAATGGGTTGAACTATCTGAACCACACCAGCCTAGGACCAAACATGAACGAGTTACAATGATTCAGTCCCCTTTAAAAGTTCATAAATACCCCATTCAATAGCAGCCCCATCGTAGTAAATGGCAAATTCCTCCACTTCTTCACGTTTTTCATGTATTGTCGTTTCGTATGGAACTTGCTGTTTATAGGAAGTTCTTTCGTTGTAATTAAATGATTGAGCGTTTCGACAACTTGTCGCATTTATTTCTTTAGAATATTTTTGACTGGCATTATAGGAATGTTCGTTTCGACCTTTGGCCATATAACTTTCTTGAGAGCGTTAAACAAAATTTGACTTTCTTACTAAAATATAGTCATCTGTGTGATAATGAAAAACTAAAAATCATTAGATATAGTAAAAGTTTATCACAGATAAAAACAATTACATCATAGAAATATGTAAATGAAATTAAAACGTTAATTATTTTAAAAACTAATAAACAGATAAAATCATAAAAAATTATGCATGTAAAATGTGAACGAAAAAAGATTAATTATTATTCATCCATAAAAAATGCTTCAGTGAAACAGTGCCTCTTCAGTATCTGTTTGACTTTTTTCACTGATCAGTTCTACCAAGCCCAACATCCAGTTTTGCAGTGCCGTTTTGAATGGGTTGAACTATCTGAACCACACCAGCCTAGGACCAAACATGAACGTGTTACAATGATTCAGTCCCCTTTAAAAGTTCATAAATACCCCATTCAATAGCAGCCCCATCGTAGTAAATGGCAAATTCCTCCACTTCTTCTACTTCTTGGAAAGATTTCGTAATGTGTGGTTGCCTTTTTTCGAATTCCTCAATTTCTTTTTTCAAATATTCAGCATGTTCTTTTTCAATATCGCTGAGTGTTTTTATGTCCTCGCTCATGCGGTTATTTTGACTTACAGCGTCTTCCGAGGACTCTTCCGATTTGGATTTACTGGGGGATCTGTTGAGGAAGTTTGTAACTTTTGTGTGATGAGTATGGTATGGACTGTCATTTACATCACGTTTTTTTTTTTGCTTTCACGTTTTTCATGTATTGTCGTTTCGTATGGAACTTGCTGTTTATAGGAAGTTCTTTCGTTGTAATTAAATGATTGAGCGTTTCGACAACTTGTCGCATTTATTTCTTTAGAATATTTTTGACTGGCATTATAGGAATGTTCGTTTCGACCTTTGGCCATATAACTTTCTTGAGAGCGTTTTCTCTTTGTGCCTTGTTTGTAAGAAGTTCTTTGATAGTAATTAGAGTACTTTTCGTCACGAGAACTTTTCGCATATCTTCCTCGAGAATCGTGTCGATTTCTATCTCCAGATGAATGGTAATAATCAGCCCGGTCGTCTTCTCTTTGACGTTCACTGGGACGAGATTGATAACAATGAACACTCCTTTCCCTGGCTCGAAATTTAGATTTTTTACCCTCATAATCAAAGTCACTGCGGTCACAGTAGGGACTTTTTGATCGTCTTCTGTTGCATTCATCGTCGCTGGAGGAGGAATCGTAACGAGGAAGTCTTCCATTCCTTGATCTGGATCTTCTTCTATCATAGCTATTGTTATATCTGGCGCTGTCGGAATACATGATGAGCTATATTATTTTATATAATGTTCGTTAAAATAGTAAATCACTGTCACAATCTGTAGGCTACTGGAAAATTTTCTAAGCTACGATGTTAGTCGATGTTAAAAATCTCTGGCAAAATTTATAGGTTACAATGATAATTCTTAGTTACGCAAGGCTGAATGGAAGTTAAACTTTTTAAAAATTCATCTTCAATCATTTCTTATATACTTTCTGGTTCAAGATGAATAAAGAGCTTTTTGTTGAAATGTCACGCAAAGTTAACTTTGTGTGACACGTTGTTTGACACGCAAAGTTTATTTGGCTCGATGTCTTATGATGTTGTTTGACACGCAAAGTTTATTTAGGTCTATGTCTTCTGATGGTTAATTAGTGAGAATACATAATTGTATCAATATTAATGAGAATGCCTAATTATACCAATATCGTTCAAAAAGTCACGATCTAACCTTTATCACTTTAATGTTTTATCTGATAATAAAGTCAGTAAGTTGTCATCACTTCTGAGGTTTTATCTTATAATAAAGTTACGTAATTCATTAAAGAGTGATTAAAAAATTCATTAAATAACAAGTCCTAATTGATTGGATAATAGAAATCTAACACAAACATAGTTTTTGTAATTAACCAATTAACATTTTTTGTAATATCGCAAAATTAATGTACATATGTATGTTAGAATGTAAAATGTAATTAACTTGTAAGGATGTTGAAGTGAAGTTTTTATTATCAGATAAAATTTTTAACGTGAAGTTTATGCAATTAGGTTGATAAAAATAATTAACGTAATAACCTCTAAAAAATTTGTAATAGATCTAGTTGGAAGATCTAAATAGAATCAGCTCCGTTGTATTAATTTTAAATTCACTGAAAAATAAACCCGCTATCAATTGGTTAATATTCACTTTTTAATATCGCTGATTTCAATTGCGGCGGGATGGTCTAATGGTTAAGGTCGCTTGGTGCTCTTTCGCAGTTACCGGGTTCGAATATGACAAAAAGATCTCCGAGTATCATAAGCTTCATGTATGACGCGTCGTTTATCATGTATTCATTTACGATGTTTGTGCGCTATGTTGAATCCTTTGAACTTTGGGAGAGTATAATTGACCATTAACCTTTTTAACCTTAAAGCTTTACTACTGTTGTTGCAGCTTCTGCTATTAATACCACTACTGCTGCTACTACAACTACCACGACTACTATTATTACTTCTATTGGTACTGATAGTAGTGATTGTAGTGTGCGTGCGCGTGTGTGTGTGTTAAAACTCATTCGACGTGTTTTTTTTCATTCGACGACGATATTAAGACATGGTTTTTCAACATTAATCTCGACTTTATTTTTTTATTCTGGTCTATAAAACAAAATAATGCAATCTTTCACCATTTCAAAAAAGAGAAAAAGGATGAATTAGAAATATTAACGAGTAAACAAAATGTGACTTTCTCACTAAAATATAGTCATCTGTGTGATAATGAAAAACTAAAAATCATTAGATATAATAAAAGTTCATCACAGATAAAAACAATTACATCATAGAAATATGTAAATAAAATTAAAACGTTAATTATTTTAAAAACTAATAAACAGATAAAATCATAAAAAATTATGCATGTAAAATATGAACGAAAAAAAGACTAATTATAATTCTCTCGTAAAAATGCTTTAGTGAACCAGTGAAACTTCAGTATCTGTTTGACTTTTTTCACTGATCAGTTCTACCAAGCCCAACATCCAGTTTTGCAGCGCTGTTTTGAATGGGTTGAACTATCTGAGCCACACCAGCCTAGGACCAAACATGAACGAGTTTCAATGATTCAGTCCAGTGGCGTAGCTAGGGTCTTCTGCGCCCCCTACATAAAATCTGTCAAACTATATAATATAGAACTGTCGTACTCAGTATTTGAAGTAGGCGTCACGGAGTGTAGCCTACTACAATGCATTTCAGTGTATTCATGTTTCTATATGCATATTGCACCTTACACCATAATTGTATTATTCTTTCTCAGTTCTTAACTATAATATTGTAATACAAAATATTAATGATTATCATTTAATCATTTATTTGGCAAAAAAATGATTATGATTAAAAAAATGATTATAATTGATGTATATAATTAGATTCTTTCAAGTAGTTTTTATAATTCTGTATTTTTATTGTTCGCTGAGTCAGAAGTGTGAAATAAAAATTATTAAATTTAAAAACAAAACAACAGCTAAGTATTGTCTAGAAATTGTGGTTAGGAAATGAGCAGAATTTTAAAGAAAATTTATTTTTCTTGCTTTTACTGCAGCAAACTGGTTAATTATATCATCAAAATCAATCTGTTCAAGAACTTCCCTCTCCACACTCATTAGGGCCAGATCGCTGAGTTTATCTTGTCCCATGGATGCTCGAAGATAGGAAAGAATTATTTTTAATTTACTGAAGGATCGCTCACAGCTGGCAATCGAGACAGCTATAGTAAGAAGGATTTGTAGAGCAACACGCAAATTTGGAAAAACATCTTCTCCGTAACTAATAATGAATGACAAGAGTTCTGTAGGAGTCTTTGGTGCAGTATCCTGGCGGGTCTCAAGGAGCATTCTGCAGTCACATATTTCATTTAATAACTCAATTCCTTCAACATCCGAGTCATAAAAATTTCCAAAGTCAATACAATGCTGACGGAGACTGTTAAGATCTTTGTCATTCAAAAGTTTGTCTACATCAAGTAAGAATCCGAATTTGAAGTTCAGATCTTTGAGACGAGTAAACCTTGTTGTCATCTCCTGTTCGAGTCGATCTAAAATACTCTTCATGATACGAACAATTTCTTCTTCTGCCGAAAGTCCTGCATCTCGGGCAAGTTCTCCAGGCATCCTTCTCCGTCGCCTGATTCTACTTTCTATAGCCACACCCCATAGCTCACATTTTTCCTTTGCTTTTAGCACTGAATCATTGCATATGTCTTCACGAATTCTTGTAATATCCATGTGCAGAGATTCAATATCCAAAGACGCTTCATGGAAATTCATTGTTGGATCTTGAAGTCTTTTCTGAACACGGTCAATTTTTTTGAGTATGTCATGCCAGAAAGGAAGGAAAACTAAGAAGTTGAAACTAAGAATATTTTGTAGCAGAATTACAGCATCGCCTCTAGTTTCTTGTGTTTCAGTTGTATCTTCAGACATTTTTTCCAGTAGACTGACTATGTTATCAAGTCCATCATGAATTGCTTTAACACATACTGCTCTAGCACTCCATCGTGTTTCTGATTCACGTTTGACTGTGATGGTCACTGCTTCTTTAAGTTTTTCCCATCGATGGGTTGATCTTGAAAAGAATAAATAAATTTTTTCAATGGTGCCAAAAAAAGTAACTACAATTGGATCTTGACATGCAGCATGCACCCCTGACAAGTTTAAGCTGTGATTGTCACAATTCACAAACAATGCCTTGTTATTTTTTGTGCAAATTCTTTGCTGAACTCCAGATAAATGCCCCGACATAACAGCTGCATTGTCATAGCATTGAGATCTACAATTTTGTAACGGGATGTTGTCAGATTCCAATCTTTTTACGATAACATCTTCAATCGAGGCTGCATCTTTTCCATGAATTTCGATGTAGCCAAGAAATGACTCTTTTATTACAACCTCCCTCTTATCAAAATTTATGTCAACATACCTGATAACTTCAGACATTTGCTCCCTGTGTGCCAAGTCAGGAGTTGAATCAAACAAAATCCCGTAGTATTTATTTTTTTCTGATGTTAATCAGCAATTGATTTCTCACATTCGAAGCAAGAATGCTGATGAACTCATTCTGAATTTCTGGAGATAAATATGTAACAGATCCTGGATTCTTTCTAGCATGGTCAAAGTGTGACTGCAAAATTGGGTCATACTGAGCTAGAAGTTGAAGAACAGACAAAAAGTTTCCTACATTTTTGTCTCCTGTGGCATCAAGTTTCTCAATATGTCCACGCAATGCCAAGTTTTGAGTGGCCAAGAATTTTATACAATTTAGTATTCGCTTCAAAACATCTCGCCATCGTGCAACCTCTGACTGAATTTCAGCTTCAAGAGATGCATCGATTGTTTTCCCTTGAATCAATCTGCGCTCTGCTTCTTTCCATGCATTAAATGATTTCCGGTGGAAAGGATTGTTCTCGTGAGCCGCTAGTTTCTCTGGCTTCCTCCACTTGCTGAATCCATTAGATAATTCAAAAGATGATTTATTATTTGCACTTGATGAGGGAAATAACAAGCAGCAAAAACAATACACTGCTTCATTCAATGGTGAATAAACTAGCCAGACCCGATTCACCTCATCTCCCTTTCCATTGGCAAGTCTCCGCTTGAACCATGGCTTCGTCATAGAACGGCCGTCTTTCTTAGCAAATGGACCATTATTATTTTGAAATACATTAGAGCCTCGAGATACCATTTCTGTGCAGAGCTGTTGAGAAATTATAGGAAATTGTGACGTTTGATCGAAATCCAAATAGCCAACATCCCCAAACATAAGCACAGCTGGAATTGGATTTGGTCTATGAGAAATGATATCATTTTCTTCTTCTACTTCAGAGTTAGATGAAGTTGATAAACTGCTACTGTTCTCTATGTTTTGCTGATTCTGCTGTACATTTGGTTGATCATTGAATTCATCAACATCAGTATCCTGAGGCTGTTGGTTTTCTCCTGGTGTTGACTTTGCCTTCTTCAAAAAACAATCCAGGAGTTTGCTGGACTTACTAGCTTCTCTTGTTTCATTTGCCTTTCTTTTTCTTCGCTGAGCTCCACTAGGCCTTTTTCCAAACATATCTGGGATTAAGAAAAACTTTTATATAGGATACACAATATTAATAAATAGTTATTTATATAATTAACAATAATTAAATTTTCTAGTAAATTTTAATACAAGTTTCTTAATTTTATTCCTGAGCAGTTTACTGTGAATGCCCAGTGGCGTTTATATGGAGGGGATGGGCAGTGATGGGCAACTAACTAAATATTTTTAATTAAACTATAACTATTTTTCAACTAAAAACAAGTAGTTAAATTAATAGTTATAAACTTTTTCAAAAAGTAGTTAACTAAACTAAAAAAAAGTAGTTAAACTTTTTCCAACTATTTTGCAACTATTTTTATATTTACTTTTTACAGACATAATCTGAAGTGGCATTAATACTAACATAACAAACTATTCAAAACATGTCTTTTCAAAGTGAAGTATTAAGCTGCATTTCAAAAATGCGCTAAAAATAAAATCATTAACTAACATAACTTGTCATCATAAAATTTAGGCCAAATAAATTATTTAGTGTTTAAAACCAACTTAATTGAATATAGACAATTACATAAATGTATTTATTAAAATATTTTTAACAAAACAGCAACAAATTTTAAAGATTAAACAACTAACCAACCATCAGTGTCAACCTTCAACACAGAGAGGAAACAAGACATCAAACAGTCCGAAACATTGGTAAAAACCAAAAACATTGAATGTACTTTGCTTTAAAAATATGGAAAGCTTAACTTTTTACAAATTAAAATTAATATTCAAAAACCATAAGTCAAGACATGGATAAAAGATATTTATCTAAAATATTTTAGTTAAACTATTTTGTTAGCAACTAAAATATTTTAGTTAAACTATCGTTTTAACTAAACTATTTTTTTTTAGTTAAACTAGGAAGGAAACTAAAAAAAAGTAGTTAAACTATTAGTTTGCAACTATTTAATTAAACTATGCCCATCACTGGTAATAGCAGGTATTTGTAGGCAGCTATACTGACTAACCCAATGCAGCTATACCACAAAGATACTATACTATAGACTATAGAGCATAATCTATACAAGCTTTTAACTGCATTGTGACTGACCTGTTCTAAAGGACAGACACAGAAATTGCTAGGTAAAGCAAAATAATAATAAAAAAATCTTTTTGGTCACTGATATTTTGGTCACTGATATTGTGCCCCCCCAGCCCTGCGCCCGGGGACAACTGTCCTCCTCTGCCCCCCTCGTTACGCCACTGATCTACCAAGCATTTAATTGAACGGAAAAATGGTGCTTGACCGCGTGGGTGACTCGACGATGCCAAGGTACCTGGTTCACGACATCATCAAACTAGATGGGCCCGACGTAGGAAGTTGGAAGTTTGAAATCAGATTGATATGCATACTGGAAGGCATCATTCAACCTCGTGATGAAAGCAAAATTGATAAATCATTAGAGACTTTTAGCTTCAAGGCAAAATCATTTTACGATATACCTAAATATTTTTAAAAACTTACTGGACAAAAACTTTGTAAAACAAGTGAACCACAACCTCCCAGAGCCAATCTTTCGCTGTTTTGTTGTCCAATTTGCCTGGGCTAAGGTTGATCTTTTTTTCTCTACTGCAGATATTTTATTGAGCATGTTCTGCAGCAAAACTTTCTCTCGTAAGAACTGGTCTTCTCCTTCTTCGTCATCTTGTCTCACTCAACAATATTCTTATTCACAAAATCACGCAAATGGCATAATTAATAAATTGCTTATTATATGTTTTACGAGATTATCAACAGATTCAACGTATCCTACCATCAATATACTGATGATACACAACTTTTCATCTAATTGAATAACGATAATTCATCAAACGTGAATGCCATCTCTACGTGCATTGCTGCCATGGAGAGGTGGTTTCTTCTCAATAATTTTCAATTCAACTCAAATAAAACAGAGGTCATCACATTAGACTTATTCCACACAACCAACTAGTTACTAGATCTGACATCAATCAGGATTGGTAATAGTGATATCCCTGTATGTGACACTTTAAAGACAATCGGTGTTGTTCTTGACAAGAAACTAACTTTTTCAAATCATACTACATCTATTATTGAAGCGTGCAATTATTATATCAAGCAAATACACCATATCAGACAGTTTTTATCAGTCGATCTGGCTGGGAATCTGGCGCGTTGTTTGATATTGTCCAAACTTTATTATTTCATTTTATTAATGTTTGGCATATCTCAGAAGCAGGAAACACGTCTTCAAAGGCTGATGAATTGGGCTGCCAAAGTTGTACAAAGTATTGATACACCACCAAATCGACTAATATCTGCAACAATGAATTATTTCGAAAATGTACAATAACTAACAGAACATATCAATCAATCAATAAATCAATCAACCAACCAATTAAACAACTAACCACACAAGCGACCAACCAAATCACTAACTTATAGTTTGAATTTTGTCAATCTGCGATTAGGAAGAATATCAACTATATGAATTACCAGTCAATCAGACAAACAACCAACCAGCTAACTAACTTATCGTGTGGATCTTCTCAATGTACACATCAACCCAGGGTACGAAAATCAGTAGAGGTATCAGCCAGATGAAGCAGACGCTAACCAACGCCGACCTAGGCTTCATTTTTGAAGTTTGCGGTGAGAAAATCATCACGTACCTGTGTGTGTGTGGTGTGTGCGTGCGTGTGTGTATGTACGTGTGGGGGTGTTTAAATGATGTTATGTTTTTTATTCATTCGACGACGATTTTATGACATGGTTTTTCAACATTAATCTCGACTTTATTTTTTTATTCTGGTCTAGAAAACAAAATTACAATTCAATATTTCACCATTTCAAAAAAGAGAAAAAGGATGAATTAGAAATATTAACGAGTAAACAAAATGTGACTTTCTCACTAAAATAGTCATCGGAGTGATAATGAAAATCTAAAAATCATTAAATATAACAGATAAAAACAATTATATCATTGAAATATGTAAATTAAATCATAACGTGAATTATTTTAAAAAATAATAAAACCATAAAAAATTATGCATGTAAAATATGAACGAAAAAAGATTAATTATTATTCATCCATAAAAAATGCTTCAGTGAAACAGTGCCTCTTCAGTATCTGTTTGACTTTTTTCACTGATCAGTTCTACCAAGCCCAACATCCAGTTTTGCAGCACCGTTTTGAATGGGTTGAACTATCTGAGCCACACCAGCCTAGGACCAAACATGAACGAGTTACAATGATTCAGTCCCCTTTAAAAGTTCATAAATACCCCATTCAATAGCAGCCCCATCGTAAAAAATGGCAAATTCCCCCACTTCTTCTACTTCTTGGAATAACTTCGTAATGTGTGGTTGCCTTTTTTTGAATTCCTCAATTTCTATTTTCAAATATTCAGCATGTTCTTTTTCAATATCGCTGAGTGATTTTATGTCCTCGCTCATGCGGTTATTTTGACTTACAGCGTCATCCGAGGACTCTTCCGATTTGGATTTACTGGGGGATCTGTTGAGGAAGTTTGTAACTTTTGTGTGATGAGTATCGTATGGACTGTCATTCTCATCACGTTTTCTTTTTTTGCTTTCACGTTTTTCACGTATTGTCGTTTCGTTTGGAACTTGCTGTTTATAGGAAGTTCTTTCGTTGTAATTAAATGATTGAGCGTTTCGACAACTTGTCGCATTTATTTCTTTAGAATATTTTTGACTGGCATTATAGGAATGTTCGTTTCGACCTTTGGCCATATAACTTTCTTGAGAGCGTTTTCTCTTTGTGCCTTGTTTGTAAGAAGTTCTTTGATAGTAATTAGAGTACTTTTCGTCACGAGAACTTTTCGCATATCTTCCTCGAGAATCGTGTCGATTTCTATCTCCAGATGAATGGTAATAATCAGCCCGGTCGTCTTCTCTTTGACGTTCACTGGGCCGAGATTGATAACAATGAACACTCCTTTCCCTGGCTCGAAATCTAGATTTTTTTCCCTCATAATCAAAGTCACAGCGGTCACAGTAGGGACTTCTTGATCGTCTTCTGTTGCATTCATCGTCGCTGGAGGAGGAATCGTAACGAGGAAGTCTTCCATTCCTTGATCTGGATCTTCTTCTATCATAGCTATTGTTATATCTGGCGCTGTCGGAATACATGATGAGCTATATTATTTTGTATAATGTTCGTTAAAATAGTAAATCACTGTCACAATCTGTAGGCTACTGGAAAATTTTCTAAGCTACGATGTTAGTCGATGTTAAAAATCTCTGGCAAAATTTATAGGTTACAGTGATAATTCTTAGTTACGCAAGGCTGAATAAAAATTAAACTTTTCAAAAATTCATCTTCAATCTTTTCTTATATACCTTTCTGGTTCAAGATGAATAAAGAGCTTTTTGTTGAAATGTCACGCAAAATTTACTTTGTGTGACACGTTGTTTGACACGCAAAGTTTATTTGGCTCGATGTCTTATGATGTTGTTTGACACGCAAAGTTTATTTAGGTCTATGTCTTCTGATGGTTAATTAGTGAGAATACATAATTGTATCAATATTAATGAGATTGCCTAATTATACCAATATCGTTCAAAAAGTCACGATCTAACCTTTATCACTTTAATGTTTTATCTGATAATAAAGTCAGTAAGTTGTCATCACTTCTGAGGTTTTATCTTATAATAAAGTTACGTAATTCATTAAAGAGTGATTAAAAAATTCATTAAATAACAAGTCCTGATTGATTGGATAATAGAAATCTAACACAAACATAATTTTTGTAATTAACCAATTAACATTTTTTGTAATATCGCAAAATTAATGTACTTATGTATGTTAGAATGTAAAATGTAATTAACTTGTAAGGATGTTTAAGTGAAGTTTTTATTAGCAGATAAAATTTTTAACGTGAAGTTTATGCAATTAGGTTGATAAAAATAATTAACGTAATAACCTCTAAAAAATTTGTAATAGATCTAGTTGGAAGATCTTAATAGAATCAGCTCCGTTGTTTTAATTTTAAATTCACTGAAAAATAAACCCGCTACCAATTGGTTAATATTCACTTTTTAATATCGCAGAATTTCAACTGCGGCGGGATGGTCTAATGGTTAAATTCGCTTGGTGCTCTTTCGCAGTTACCGGGTTCGAATATGACAAAAAGATCTCCGAGCATCACAAGCTTCGTGTATGACGCGTCGTTTATCATGTATTCATTTACGATGTTTGTGCGCTATGTTGAATCATTTGAACTTTGGGAGAGTATAATTGACCATTAACCTTTTTAACCTTAAAGCTTTACTACTGTTGTTGCAGCCTCTGCTATTACTACCACTACTGCTGCTACTACAACTACCACGACTACTATTATTACTTCTATTGGTACTGATAGTAGTGATTAAAACTATGCGCGTGTGCGTGTGTGTTAAAATTGTGTTTTTTCTTCATTCGACGACGATATTAAGACATGGTTTTTCAACATTAATCTCGACTTTATTTTTTTATTCTGGTCTATAAAACAAAATAATGCAATCTTTCACCATTTCAAAAAAGAGAAAAAGGATGAATTAGAAATATTAACGAGTAAACAAAATTTGACTTTCTCACTAAAATATAGTCATCTGTGTGATAATGAAAAACTAAAAATCATTAGATATAGTAAAAGTTTATCACAGATAAAAACAATTACATCATAGAAATATGTAAATGAAATTAAAACGTTAATTATTTTAAAAACTAATAAACAGATAAAATCATAAAAAATTATGCATGTAAAATATGAACGAAAAAAGATTAATTATTATTCATCCATAAAAAATGCTTCAGTGAAACAGTGCCTCTTCAGTATCTGTTTGACTTTTTTCACTGATCAGTTCTACCAAGCCCAATATCCAGTTTTGCAGCGCTGTTTTGAATGGGTTGAACTATCTGAGCCACACCAGCCTAGGACTAAACATGAACGAGTTACAATGATTCAGTCTCCTTTAAAAGTTCATAAATACCCCATTCAATAGCAGCCCCATCGTAGTAAATGGAAAATTCCTCTACTTCTTCTACTTCTTGGAAAGATTTCGTAATGTGAGGTTGCCTTTTTTCGAATTCCTCAATTTCTATTTTCAAATATTCAGCATGTTCTTTTTCAATATCGCTGAGTGATTTTATGTCCTCGCTCATGCGGTTATTTTGACTTACAGCGTCATCCGAGGACTCTTCCGATTTGGATTTACTGGGGGATCTGTTGAGGAAGTTTGTAACTTTTGTGTGATGAGTATCGTATGGACTGTCATTCTCATCACGTTTTCTTTTTTTGCTTTCACGTTTTTCATGTATTGTCGTTTCGTTTGGAACTTGCTGTTTATAGGAAGTTCTTTCGTTGTAATTAAATGATTGAGCGTTTCGACAACTTGTCGCATTTATTTCTTTAGAATATTTTTGACTGGCATTATAGGAATGTTCGTTTCGACCTTTGGCCATATAACTTTCTTGAGAGCGTTTTCTCTTTGTGCCTGT